GGCCCCGCGCGTCAACCTCGAGCGCGCACCCGAGGACCAGCCCGGGCGGCGGAGCGTGGAGTGTTTGGGGTTTTTTTTTCCTTCCGATAGCTTTATTGACACGACCCTTTTCCAACAGAGCAGTGTTTATGTAGTTATACTGTAATGTTCCATATTCCGAATAGGGTTGCCACCTTTTTTCCAAGCGAAAGCCGAACACTCTAGTGAAGCACAGACATTTTTTTGGGAGAATGAGCTGTGGCTTATGCATATGTAAATAGCGCCACCCATTTATATATAAATATCACAGTCGAGACTATTTTCAGTGGGGGGCCAGTAGCCCTATCTTAATTTGGGTTGCCCCTGTCTGCCTGACATCTTGTGTCCGTGTTTCCGCTGCCATGGAACCTGGACACAGCATTCAAAACCCGGACTGTCCGGGTCAATCCTGGACAGGTGGCAACCCTAATTCCGAACGGTTTAAAAAAAAAAAAGGAAAACCATAATGACTTTTGTATCCAGAGCTCAAAGCAGCCTCCATTCACACGTCTGTGACTGCATTTTATGCGTCTTTTCATTGCACAAATTTCATGCGTTTCCATGCATTATGCATTTTTCTTTTGGCCAGGGAAGGTGAAATAAAGTTTAGGTTGCTAGGGGTTGAAGTCTTGTTGCCATCTGCTAAAGTGCACAAAAATCCATGTCACATACTGCTTACAAGCCATGGTATGGTTTAGATCAGAGGTAGTCAAACTCTGGATGTGGTGAAACTACAAATCCCATCATGCATCTGCCTCTGTGAGACATGTGTGTGGCTGTCAGAGTCTTGCAGTTCCTAATTGGATTTGTAGTTTCACCACAGCGGGAAGGCCAAAGTGTGCCTACCCCTGGTTCACATAAAGATTGTAAACATAAACAAACCATGTTAGGTTTTTATTGCTGTATGTGTACCTGTTTGGGAGATTTATTCTCTAATTGTTCTCATTTCGGGGAGGTCACCTCCCGGAAATGATGGCAGATAGCAGGGGAGCTAATGCTTCCATTGTTACCTGCTGTTTTGTTTTTTTATTTTGACAGCTGCTGCCGTGACAATAAAAAACCGACAGCATGGGAATGAATAGCTAGTCTGCTCAATTTGCAATAGCCAATAGCGGGCTGGCTATTGCACCCGCAAGGAGAACTTCAGGTCGGTCGGCGGTCCTGCTGTCAAAAAAAAAAAACTAGATAGAAGGGAAAGGTTTACTCTGCTACGTAGAGCAGAGTAAACCTTTCTGGGATAAAATGTTTCTCGTCCGGGAGCCGCTCCCTTATAGCGGGAGATTCCCAGAACGTCCGGGAGAGTTGCAGACATCCCAACCTGCAAAACCTTATTTCAGGGAGGTTCCCGTCTCATTTCAGGGAGGTGCCCTTTCTGTGTTTTTGTTTTTTTTTACAGCGGCCGTCGTCAGAATACAAAAGAAATAATAATAATATATATATACACATATATATATATATACATATACATACATAAAGCCTCACTCTGAAACCTTTCCCACTGATATCTTACCGGAAAGGTTTACTCAGAGTAAACCTTTCAGGGAGAAAATGCCTCTCTCGCGGACGTCAGGGAGCCACTATCTATTAGAGGGAGACTCCCTGAACATCAGGGAGACTTGAGATCCCTGGAGTTGACATGTCTGCAAACCCCAGCAACTCCAAAGAAGGAAGTGCCAGTGGCACTTCCAACCAATCGCTCCGCACCTGCATGTTAACAAAGGGGCGGAATGCTTCCAATTACATCTTTACCTTATATGGCTACATAGCCATATTAGGTAAATGTCAATTGGCCAATGACGTCACTGTATTCGCCCTGTTTTCACACCTAGCGTTGTCGCTCTTAGCTCGTGTGTTGTCATGCTAAGCTTTCAGAGACAAAACGCCTAGGTATGAACGGAGCCTTACGTCATCTACACGTTCCCCCTCACAGCTGATTGAACGACACGAAAGGAACTCTCATCCGGGTTTGGAGGAGCTCAGGTTTGGATCGGGTCCAGTCCCCAGTGCAGCTGCCCCTCCTGCACTCCCCTTTGTCCCGGTCCTGATTAAGAATTAGTGTTTGAAGCTATAACCTAATAAATTACAAAGATGTTTAATTTAAAGACAGTCATTTATAGTAAGTTTTACTTTGTGCCTTTCAACTCCATGGCCAAAAAGAGAGTCCCAGCGCACTCCTGACCGAGAAGACCCATATAATGTGGGGGGGGGGGGGGGGGGGGGAGGGGCGGCGCCGCTGTGACAGAACTAAGGACGAGCATTGAGGGAAGAGAGAGGCGCCGGCTGTCAGATACAGCACTCCAAGTTTTCTTCAAAACAAAATCATTTTATTCATTCTTGCAGATCATATCACCATGTGTAGCAACGTTTCGGAACCTGTCCTGTCCCTTCATCAGGCAAACAAAAGTGATGATCGTCAATGAATAAAAGGATTTTGTTTTGAAGAAAACTTGGAGTGCTGGTGACCATTTTTTTGTTTTTTTACTCTAGGGGGTTCATTTATACACCTTCCGCCCAGCGTATAGCCAGGTGGTTGCATTCACACGGCACTTGTACCACTAGATGGCCATTTCTATACTCATGAGTGTCACCAAGGGCGTTATTGCTGTGCAATGGACATGCACCCAGCTAAGGGTGTTAAGGGTGAATTGCCACCCAGTGAGGTTAATATCTCCTCAAAGTCATTGCGGGGCCAAGGTGTTGTCTTCGATTGCTGCAGTGATAGAAAATAATGGGTTTTAGGAGGTTTCAGAGGTGGAGTTGTACAATACATGCTAGGTGCGTGCATTTACTTGGTCATCTATGATTGGGGGCTGTAGCTGAAGACATTCTAGTGCCACCCAATCTATAGTCCGGAAACATGGATGTTGCTGGATGTGATCATTCACTCCCAGCTGCCTGCTGGGATCATTCCAGAGAAGCTGAAAAAGAACAATAAAAAGGATTAAAGTTAGAGGTCAGCAGCACATGCAGTGTGACCTCTTCAGCTAGACAACTGGATGGTGGGAGATGACACAACATTATGATTGGCTTTTGGGGCCAAATGCCTATCTCACTTACCCTCCAAATGATGTTTATAGATGTGTACTCCAATCCTCCAAGCTGCAGTGGTTGATTTGGAGATCTGCCCGATGTCATCTGGTAGAGCACAATGCCGAAAGGGAACCAGTTCACTCCAGCATTTTATGACAGACCTTCCTGCATCTGCCAAAAGAGAGAACGTGAAGGTTAAATCACAAAGAGTTACCAGGCAATACGCAGTCAGTGATTGCATTGTATTTTTGTAGATTGCAGCATGGAGAGGAAAGGGCAGGAAAATGCATGTGAAGAGGAACACATAAGGGACTTATGATTTTCAAACACCAAGTTGTGATTGAAGCATAAGAGCTTTAGACATTTTAGAATTGCTCAGTCATGGCTCACCTCTGGGGCCATATAGCCCCTTGTTCCAGCCTTATGTGTGGACATCTGGTCTCCAAACATATTTTCCACAGCCAGTCCGAAGTCTGCTACTTTAATGTGTCCAGCCAGTGGTGTATTTAGGTTTGGGGCTGCCCTAGGCAAGACAAAACTCGGGCGCCCCCCCACACACTAAATTTACCCCACCTGGCTGTGGTCTCAGGTGGGCTCTGCGGTGGTCTCTACAGGATCTTTGGTGGGCTCTGCGGGGTCTCAGGCTGCTAAGCCCACCATAGACCCCGCAGAGCCCGCCGCAGAGCCCGCCACAGATCCTGCAAAGCCCCCCTGAGACCCGGCTGAGCCCTTCACAGATCCTGCACAGCCCGCCTGAGACCCTGCAGTCCACCATAGACCTCGCAGATCTCACCCCAGATCCTGCTATATTTTAAACTAAATGTAAACATTTTTTTTACCAAAAACCGCCCGTAATGCTTCAAAAACGCGGCAAAAATGCGGCACACCCCCTGCACTGCGCGTACAGAAACTCATGCAGATCTGCTCTGCATTTGGTGTGAACAAGGCCTTAAAGAGCAGACAATTTCAGCTGCGTAGATTCTACAAGAAAACAACATAATTTAAAATGCTATAATCTCACTTTGATAACAGGGGTAATGTACCAGCAGTGGAATTGATACTAAATATTGACCCGGTCTGTGTGGAGTTTGTATGTT